GTGAAAATATTTTCCTTGGGCAAGTCAGTTAGTTTCCTCAGAAAGTGTTGACCTTAAAAACGAAAGCGCCAGGGCTTCCCTGGTGGTGCAGTGGTTGGGAGTCCACCTGCCGATGCAGGGGACGCTGGTTTGTGCCCTGGTCCGGGAGGATCCCACATGCCGCGGAGCGGCTGGGCCCGTGAGCCATGGCCACTGAGCCTGCGCGTCCGGAGCCTGTGCTCCACAACGGGAGAGGCCGCGGCAGTGAGAGGCTCCCGCCCCCCAAAAAAAAAAAAAAAAAAAAAAAAGAGCCAGCTATTTTACCAGCAAAATGAGTTTATTTGGGAATAGCAGAGAATTTCAATTTGGGACAAGCAAACTGTGGTAAACCATAGGTAAATCTGGAGAACCAAGGAGAGAGACTTGCTTTTTAAGAGAAGGGACGAAATTGGGGAGGCTGTGGTGGTTCTTAACAGGCTGCAGGTAGTGGGCAGCTTGTTGTTGGGTCAGAAGGCTACAAACTGTAGTGAGTGATACCTGCGCGACAGCTCCCCCTTCAGGGCTTCCCAACTCCACTTTAAATGAGGTTTCACACACATGAAAGGGCACTCAACATCACTGATTATTACAGAAATGCAAATCAAAACTGCAATGAGATATCACCTCACACCTGGCAGAACGGCCATCATCAAAAAATCTACAAACAATAAATGCTGGAGAGGGTGTGGAGAAAAGGGAACCCTCTTGTACTCTTGGTGGGAATGTAAATTGATACAGCCACTATGGAGAACAGTATGGAAGTTCCTTAAAAAACTAAAAATAGAACTACCATATGACCCAGCAATCCCACTACTGGGCATATACCCTGAGAAAACCATAATTCAAAAAGAGTCATGTACCACAATGTTCATTGTAGCTCTATTTACAATAGCCAGGACATGGAAGCAACCTAAGTGTCCATCGACAGACGAATGGATAAAGAAGATGTGGCACATATATACAATGGAATATTACTCAGCCATAAAAAGGAATGAAATTGAGTTATTTGTAGTGAGGTGGACGGAGCTAGAGTTTGTCATACAGAGTGAAGTAAGTCAGAAAGAGAAAAACAAATACCATAAGCTAACACATATATATGGAATTTAAAAAAAAGGTTCTGAAGAACCTAGTGGCAAGACAGGAATAAAAACACAGACGTAGAGAATGGACTTGAAGACACAGGGAGGGGAAGGGGAAGCTGGGACGAAGTGAGAGAGTGGCATGGACATATATATACACTACCAGGTGTAAAATAGAGAGCTAGTGGGAAGCAGCCACATAATACAGGGAGATCAGCTCGGTGCTTTGTGACCACCTAGAGGGGTGGGATAGGAAGGGTGGGAGGGAGATGCAAGAGGGAGGGGATATGGGGATATATGTATGTATAGCTGATTCACTTTGTTATACAGCAGAAACTAACACAACATTGTAAAGCAATTATACTCCAATAAAGATGTTAAAAAAAATTGCATTTCTTAGCATGGTGCTTGGCATATGGCAGGCAGTTTTTAAGTTGGGAGTGAATAGGTGAGAACTGAGAGAACTGTTGAAGAACTAGAAAGATTCTTACTCTTTTCAGAGATATAAGTTCCTTAAAACTCACACACACACACACACACACACACACACACACACACAATGTTGTATAGCAAACAATTCTATTTTTCACACCAGACTTTTATTTAAAGCTACTTTCTGCACATATGTAATAACAAATTCATAAACCACATCTTTCCAGATTTAGATTTTCTTTGTATAAAGACAGAGAAATCCTAAGCCTCTTGGAAAAGATATGCCTTGGTGAAGCAATCCCCAAGTTGTGTTTTGGCTTTGTCTAACCGTATAATGCATAAACATTCATCGATTTCTTTCATATTGATTTGACGTATACCACAGTATTTAATATTTATAGAAAATTAATTTCTTTTCTATTTTAAGAGGTTTACTCACATATGTTTAGTTTGTGCAGTTAACAGTCATTACAAAATATATACCAAACATTAATTTTATTATTTCTGACTCAAAATGTATTTTTAGTTCGGCAACACATTATCATCTAATGTGAGGTCATTTTCGAGAACAAATTAAAAACTAGAAACTAATTACTTTCTTTAACTTCATAGTCTTGATATTTTAGGCATAGGTATTTTTTGTGGAATATAAATAAAAACAAAATGTTCTCCCAATCCAGAAAATTCTCTCCACAAACGCAGTGGAGAAATAATACTTCCCTTATTGAATAAGCATTACACCAGAATGTGATGCGCATTGCAGGCAATCTGCAAAGAGACTGCAAAGACAGAAAGCAATCTCACCCTTTTATACAGCCTAGCAGATACAACCCATTACGTATGTTTTCAAGATAAACAATAACTAGTCATCAAGTAATAGACCTTGATAACACTGCACACATAATTCATCTTGACTTTATTTCCTAATTGGGGTGACCATCAGAGTTGGCTAATAAGCATTATCCACAGGAAAAACAAATGTCTCATCTTTATGACAGAAGGTAGTTTTGCAACTTGGAAAAATTTGCCCACAAAGTTAGGTTCCTACTATCCCATAGAAACTGGGAGAGAGGGGTGCTATCTCTCTCTCTCTCTCTTTTATTTGAGGTATAATTGACATATAATATTACAATAGTTTGAGGTATACAACATAATTCCATATTTGTATATATCTCTAACTGATCACCACAGTAATTCTAGTTAACATCCATTACCATATATACACAATTTTTTTCTTGTGATGAGAACTTTTTAAGATCTACTTTCCTAGCAACTTTCAAATATGCAATACAGTATTATTAACCACAGTCATCAAGCTATTACATTCCTATTTTTTATTTTATAACTGGAAGTTTGTACTTCTTGACCATTTTCACACATTTCACCCACCTCCCACCCCCTGCCTCTGGCAACCATCCATTTGTTCCATGTATCTATGAAGTTTTTTTTGTTTTTTGTTTTAATTCCACATATAAGGGAGATCATATCGCATTTGCATTTCTCTGACTTATTTCACTTAGCACAGTGCCTTCAAGGTCCATCCATGCTGTTGAAATGGCAAGCTTTCATTCTTTTGTTAAGGCTGAATAATATTCCATGCTGTATATATGTATACCACAACATCTTTATCCATTCAAGGGCGCTAGCTCTCTTGACATTTGCATTTCAAAGAGACAGTTCCCAGGTCCTTGAGAAACACATTTCTGGGATACAACGCTAACAAAACACAAAATGACAGAGACCTATCCAGTCTTCAAAATAATTTATATACATTTCAAAGAGATGAAAAAGTATACAACAATTACCAGTTTTCTAGGGCAAGTGCTCTAAGAAAGGGAAATCCCTTCTTCCATATCCAATAGGGAGAATTAAGCTTTTTTAAAAAAAAATTTAGTCTTTACATTTGTCTAATTGGTTATGTGTAACCTTTGTAATTTTACTTAAACTTTCTCAACAGTAGAATAATTTAAGAATAAAATAAAAGGTCTTTTAGGCTTAAAAAATACAAATAAACAATTAAAACCCCCATAACACAATGGAAAAAAAATAAAATTCTTGTCTTTACAGCACGTTTTGGTTTCTTTAAAAGAGTAGACATGAAAAGTCCCGTTTAAAATTTGTCTATGTGTAGGGGCGTTCACTACAGTAAAATAAATTACTGTTTAGAAATTATTAATTAGGAACTAATTATTCACTCTTCTTTGGCTCCCATTGTAATACACAAGTTTTGGAGGAGGAGGGTCGAGATAGGATTGACCTTAGTATTTGCTCCAAAGAATGTGGTTCAACCAATGCAATGTACGATACAATGCCTTAAAGAGTCGGCTACAGAAACATACCCTGCAATAGTGACTAATAACACGTATCATACTGTTACAGATCACCTACGTCTCTTTGTTTAGCTCAAATTACTCATTTTCCACTAAATTCTTTTGGTGAAGGACGCTTCAGAAACAACTCTCACTGGAGGAGCAAACCAACTTCGGTTCTTCACGCATGCTAGACTCTGGAAGAGGTAAGAACTTACTACAGGAACTCACAGGACATGCTGAACACTTTTTAATAGCATCCATCACAACTCCAGCATTTTCTACCTTGTTTTTAAAGAAGGTCTCAGGCACTGGGAATTACAGGAATGAGAAAGACACTGTTCCCGCCTTTCAGGCACTTCAAGCCGAAAACTAGTTTAAAAGAATCAACATTATAATAGATGCAAGTAAGATATACAGAAAAAGTGACTTGATTCAAAGGGGTGAAGGATGCGTATTTAGGACTGGAGGGTCCGCGACTCCAAAGCAGCTTCCGTTCCCGGAGATTTCAGCTCCTGGGATCACCCAGCACCCCGCGGGCACAATTAACATTTTAATCACGTCTCCGTCCCCACCCTCCGAATTCCTTTCCGGCTGCCGACCCGCCGGGTAGTCCCTTCCAGGCGGCCCCAGCTTATCACCCCCGGCCCGGCCACTTCCCGGCCGCGGCCAAGCGAGCCTCCCAAAGTTTCCTGTGACGCCGCCGCCCGCCTCCGGCCGCATCCCGCCCACACTCCCACCCCGGCAGCCCTGGACACCGGCTAGAAAGGAGCGAGCTACAGGGACGAGAAGAGCTGAGCCACCAGGAGGACCGCGCGACCCCACCCAAGCTGGGGAGCGAGCCCGGAGGGCGGCGGCCGACGCTCCACGCCTCCCCTTGCCACGCCCGCAGCCCCCGGTCCGCGCGCGCCCACCGGGCCTGGTGCCCGAGCCCCACCCCTCCGGGGTCCAGGCCAATCGGCCGCGCCCCGCCTCCTGGGAGGTGGTGGAAGAGGGGGTTGGGGGTCGGGAGGCAGTGCCCGCCTTCGGCGGGTGCCCATTGGCTGAGACCTCGAGGGTGCCCGGAGACCGGAGTGCAGCTGGATTGGCCGCGGAGGCTGGTGACAGCAGCGCTCATTGGTTGTGGCGGCCCCCGTGACGCGGGGTGGCGACTGGCTCCCGTGTCTGAGGGGCTCCTGCTTGTCAGGTTCTAGGTAGGTGAGTTTCGCGCCGCCAGCGGCAGGCGCTGTTACCCGGGGCAACGCCGGGGGTGGGGGGAAGAGTTGGGAAGGCCAGCCGAGAACTGGGGCAACACTCCCTGCCCGCAGTGGGGCGCCTGGGGCTCTGCCCTGGCTGTGGCGGCTGCGCCGGCTGCGCCGAGGGCTCTTTCTCCGCCCTCAGCCATCCCCCCCATCCTGCCCCCGGCTGCGGGGTCTCCCGTCCATCCTGCGCCCGCGGCGGCGCATTGCTGTTTGCGGCTTGGGCCGGGCTGCCCACCCGGCCGGGCGAGGCCCGCCCTTCCCACCCACCCGGGACTGGAGGCTGAGGGGGCGGGTGCCGGCGCGAGAGGGCTGAGGCGGGCGCGACGGCTCCGCCCAGTCGCCGGGTCCGGGGTTTGCGGGGTGTGGGGCGGTGCTGGGAGTACTGTGGGCACCGCCCATGACGCCCTCACCCCCTTTTCTCGGCTTGATCCCCTCGGCGCGGGCCTCGGGCTGGGCGGCCACCCCCAATCCCTAGGTGTTCCCCCAGCCCCTTCCTACCGCTGGGGCCTTGCGATCTCCCTGGACCGGCACAGTCCGCCCCCAGCTCTTCTCTCATGTCAGCTTCCCCACCCCCTGCTTTTATCCCCCACCTTCCGTCCCTACTCCTGTCTTGGCCAGGAGTGACCCTCAAGAGATACTGTGAAGCTAGCGCAGGCGGGGCAATTTCTGATCTGTTCTCTTTGCCATTTACGGTTGAGGAGGTGTTTGGAGTCACCTTCGGGTCAGCTTTCTGGTTAGTCTCCTTTAGGATCAACTTTCTGAAACACGCTAATTGAGTTGGTTTTGGTAGGGTGGTACGTCTTGCACAAATTAACTGTGAAGCTGTCGCTTGTGTGTGTGTGTACATTTGTGATTTTGATATATAGTGCTGTGCAGTGCAATGTCTAATAATTTATTAAGGCTCGCACTTTCATTTTCGATTGCCTCATGGTTAAAAAACCTTAATCTTTTTAATTCATAAGAAGTTGCATATATTCGTAGTAGTCTCACTGTAAATTTGACATAAATTACTCTGGGTGTAGTGCCATTTTTTTCTCTTTCTCCAGATGTTTTAAAATACTAAAAAAATTTCTTAAATGGAATAACAGCGCTGTAAAAGTGTAACAGAAAAATCAATAAGAATAGACCAAATCTATTTTAGTGCTTAAAGACTAGAAAGTACTTTTCCACCTATGGAATGGGGACAGGATTTCTATTGCAAAGTATAATTATTTCACTGTGCAATGTTGTCCTGGTGTATCTACCTGTATGGGCTTTAGGAAGATATACTTGTGAAAAGGCACACATTTGTCAGAATGCAAAGGAGGGCTCAGTGTATGTTTTGTGATCTGGGGAATCTTTTCTGCTAGTTCTCTTGAGCCAAGTGAACTGTTTTCAAAGGTACTGGAAGTATATTAAGGGAGTACATAGGCATACTTGGAAACCTTTCTCCAGTTTCTTCCATGAAAGACCTTTGGCGAAGATCTGTTTCTCTTCCATACTGATGGTTGGCAGCATTAAATATATACCATGTAAAATTATTTAGGGTCCGATTAATGCAGCTTCTGCACTATTTCAGAGTTTGATGTCAGTAGTTGAAGGAATAAATCAGGCTTTTGGTAGACCCTTCCTTTTCATTTCATCTTCAACTGTTATGTAGCTATAACTCTGGTCTGTGAACATTTCACATTTGCCTTTTTTTTCCTCCAGTATTTCACTATGAAAAATTTCAAACAATGTAGGCAAGTTCAGTTGTGCTGTGAATACTCACCATCTACACAGCAATAACATTTTCAGGACAGCTGTTACATGGCATATACTAAGGAACAGAGGAACTGAAATTATCAAGTTTGAAAACCAGCATAAATATGTATCAAACCAAAATATTGTAAAGTGCTTATTTCCGTTTGTAGATGGTAATAGTGTTTATAAAAACTGTAGTAATTGAATTCCATGAGACTATTATAAAGCAGTCCTGTGAGTAGGAAGTCATTATCTTGGTAAATCAAGGCCTTGGTGAGTTAACTGTGTTTTGGTAATCAGAAAAAAAAGAAAATCTAATGAACTTGTTATACAAATAAAAGTCTTGTTTTAAAATTGGACTCTTGTGTTAATAGATTATAGTTTTCTACTTGATTTTTAAATGAGCGTCTTCTTTTGAAGACAGGTTGAAGGGACTATCAATTATGCACTGTTTTGGTAACATACTTAATAAATTGGGTCAATCTTATGTATGTTGTTTTGGAATAAGAATGTGTTTTTGTAATGGAAAAAGAAAGCTTACAAATGTGAACTTTTTTTAGTATAACTTTTCCATGGAAAATGAAGTAATTTAGAGAGATTTAAGTTAATTTTGATAGGACTCAAAACTATCTTGCGTGTTGTTTCATGGTGTTGCTAAAAGGAGTATTTTAATACAGAACTTCAATTTGTGATAAAAAGAATAAGAAACTGGTATAAATTAATTCACATATGTGTATATTATATTTATAATTTTCCCATACTAAGGAAATTCCTGCACTCTTGTTTAAGTATGTGAATCCTGCTTTTCAGTTTTAGTATGCCCTAAATCTGTTTTTCATACTTTGCTCAGTTAATAACTAAATTCTGAAATAGTGAAATTGAGCTATGTCTCAGAATTTATAGATCTTTGGATTGCCTCATTATTATTTTTCCATATCTCATTTGACTTTGGCATGCTTATGTGTGGTTTATTTTTCATGCCATGCCATTGAGAGATAGAAGGGAACAAGGAGGTCATAGTTTTGGAACTTTGGAAAGAATAAGATGTTCAGATACTTTTTAATCAAAGCTCCAACTCCCTCCCACCCCCGCCCCACCTTCCTCCCTCTTTCCTTTTTTCTTGCTCTCCTGTTTTTATTATAAAAGTTAAATGCTTTAAAATCAATTCAGAAAACTATACAGAAAAAAAGTCATCAGTAATTCCACGATAGTTAATGTTTTGAAATAACTGAAACTTTTGTTTCTTCTGTAACACCCTACCAATCATTGCAATTTTATGGTCTTCATTGCAGTGTGTCAGCACTTACATCTCAACTTGGAGGAGTTCCTGAACTTGAGACTCAGTTAGTCTAAATTAGAAGAAGCCTCCAAAATCTGGAGGAAAAATGGAAAATAATCAATAGAGGACAGATTAGAGTCAGAACAAAAGAATCAGACCCAAGCAATTACCCACTTTTTCTTTTTTCTTAAGTATAAATATAGTCCTAATTGACCATATGAAACTGCTCTATGACTGACAAAATATGGAGCCTCTCAGGTTTTTTCTTTGGAATTCAAAGTGTCCGGGTAAGATGAAGTTTACTTAGTGCCTTTCTACAGAAGTTTTCAGGTTTTTTCTATTTGGGGGTGATATTTCATATTCAGCTTTTAAAAAATTTAATGTCATGCATGATTTGGAATTATTTCCTAAATATTCATTTATACTTAGCAAACTATGACTAATTTTTAGCCTATACATTATCATTGCTCACTATAAGCTTAATATTGTCTCCTCCTTTAGAAGGTTTTAATTAGAAGACTGAAAAGTTCAACGTATGTGTTTCTTGTGAGATAGCAGGGTATAGTGAAAAGAAGAGTCATTTATTTTCGAGCCAGATAATCTGGGTTTCAGTCAGAAATTAGGATTTTCTTTTGTGGGATCTTGGGCAAGTTTCTTAATCTCTTTAAACCATAGTTTCCTCATCTGTAAAGTGGGGATGATATAATTGCCTCACAAGGTCATTATGAAGAAGAAATGAGACAATTGAGGTAAAATGACTGAATTTAGGGAGTGTTCAGCATTGACATTCAGTTATTTTCATGGTAGTTTTCATTTCATCTCTTCTAGTATTACTGTGTTTATTCTACGATCCTAAAAGTCCCTAAGTTTTAGACTTTGGAAATTAAAATAATGTACATTAAGCTTAAATTGAATGATATTTACATTTGTACAAACCAAATAATTAGAAATATCTCAGATTAGCAGGGTTTTTTTTTTTTTTTTTTTTTTTTTTTTTAGCTCTTGAGTTACTGTATCTCAGTAGCAATAATCAGAAATTTACCTTAACTGATTTTTACCTCAAAATATGTCCAGTTTGTCTGAATTCCTGAATTATTTTTCCTTCACATTAGATTATCATCTGTTGTTGGATGGTTTCCCTGAATTCTTTTCCTTTGAACCACAAATATTTGCTTAAAAGTGGTACAGAAAAGCTAAATGTTACCTTCTTAAATCTCTAATGCTCCTTGCCGCCTTAAATTACATTTACTTAATCTGTTTAAAAGTTAAACTTTATTTTCAAATGTAATAGTACACAAAACTCTTAATTGAAAGTTTTCTGTCTCCTACAGAAATCTCCTATATGATTACTTTTTAGGGAGCAACATTTTACAGAGATCCCTATTTCAAAATGTGTGTTCATTAAGTATGGGGTTCTGATTCTTAAAGAACACACACTTATAGTTTAAATGCACAGACCAGCCTATAGTTATTGGGTGTTGTGAAGCAAGCACTGAACTGGTAAAAAGTTAGGATTGGAACTAAATAGTCCTTATTGTCTCATCCAGCAGTAAAACAAAGATTTTGTGATCTGAGTCAATGATTCTCAATATTTTTTCCACCCAAGTACAAGATACGTACATGTGTGACATATTCTAATACGTAGTTTTCTAGTATGCCCTCTGTAATTCCATCTTACCCTCTTCCACTCTAGGAAGCATATCAGAATGCAAGTGATTGAGAATGACACTATTATAGGGATAAACTTGAATCTACTCCGATTTATTGAGAAAAGTGAGTCATTAACAAAAAGGTAAATAACTATTATTAGTAACAAATACTTGAGACACACCTTATAGTACTATCATTGAGACCCAAGTTATTTCTGCATTTTCCTGAAACGAATGCTTCTTCACTTTTTCTTATCAGTGTTGTAATGCTTACGTAAGAAGAGATTACTAATTTTATGTAA